TGAGTAAAAGAAATGAGGAAATTAAGTGCTATAGTTCTGTTTAATCTGTTTAGGTAGTAGGACTCTGCCTTGAGAATTTTTGGAGGTGCTGGAATAATTTGCATTTGTTTCCTTGAGACTTCACATTTGCTAAGTTGAGCACGTGTTTTGGTGTCTTCCTGAATTGCTACTTGCTCGATTCAAGATGCACAAGTAAATTACTTTCTCTGGTATATTAGTAAGCTACACACTAAACTTACCTTGCAGTCTGTACTGGCAGCTTCCGTACTATTCCTTAGTTATTGTATAGCCCATGCTCTTCACTTTTGAAAATTGTTTGTTGAATCAACTATTCAAATTGTTATAAAAACCTAAATCTTCTCTGATCTACAAATCTTAGGTATGTAAGTAACTTAAAAAGAAAACCCTTAGCAATTAGAATTTGGAAACGGATCCCCTAATTGAGTAGCGTGGATTTGTAGGTGGTAACTGTTGTGAAACATTTAGATTCTTTTATTTACAAAATAGAGGGATCAAAAGATAATGGATGGACGTGGACAAAATGGGTTTGAAATAATATTAAGCGTTCTTTGTTTCACTAAAATGCAAACTTTCTTCAGTTTACTGGATTACAGTGGTAAGGGTGCGTATATCGGAGTAGATGAGAAGTTTTCTCATGGGGAACCAATTTTGTCAGAAAATGCTGATATGATTCGGTTAAATTGCTCTGTGGGAATCCTGTCAAAACTCTTGATGGAATTGATAAACCCACTTTGGTTCCTGCATGCCTGCCGGGCTGGAGCCGCCCGCTCCTGCCAGGCGGCCTGGGGGCTCAGCGGGTCCGGGGGCTGCTCCGCACCGGTGCTCCTGCTCCCTCCACACCCAGGCTGGGGGGATGCCCACCCTCCCTCTGGCTGGGGGTGAGTAGGAAGCTGTTCTGAAAGTCCTACTTCGGGGAGCCTGTCTGTTAGCTGGGAAAAAAGAATTTGGTTTTCTTTTTTCTTAAGATTGAGTTGCTCTCCAAATCACTGTCTTGGAGCTGGATTTTTCTTTAACTTTGCTGTGATTTGCGTGTGAGAAGAGGATGGGGGGAGAAAAGTTTTAGAGGGGAATGCTTTGCAGGATGAGACTTCTGCTTTATAGCAGGCGCTGGTAGGGACTGAAGGAGGGGGCTGAAGGGCTACATGCACAGATGGTGATAGACCGTACTGTACCAGTCTGGGAAAATGATTAATCAATACTACAGGGATTTATTCTAGTGTTTAGTTCTTTTAATTTAGCCTTCTGTGTCTCTGCTCAGGAGTTCTGTACGAGAATGTTCTAAATGTGATGCTGATTCAGGATCCTGGCAATTTTGAGAAATCAAAACAGTTCCCTAACTTTTTTAGCTGGATCTTGTTGCAAATGGCAGTGAAGAGAACAAATGTTCTGTCCATGTTTCTAATTGCAAGTTGCATAAATACGGCTCAGATTTTAATGAAGGGAACTTGGGGAAGTAACACTGTGGAACAGTGAATGATAAATGACCAAGACGCTTAATGCACATTTTTCATAGTCCTGTTGCCCTTGTGTAGCTGTAGGCAGCCTTCATTCTGATACTTCCCAAATTTTGAGAGCTTGCCTTTCTGACCTTAATGGTCTTTTAAAAGGAAGCCTGTAGCTTCATAAATCTCTTTTTCAGCGGAATTAAAAAGAAAGAAAAAAAATTAAAATCACCTGAAGTGGCATTATTTACACCACTGTAATTCATTAATAGAGTTGGAACTTTTTGGTTCCTGATGCAGACCCTTGATTCATGAGGTTCGGGAGAACGTTGTTGCCTTTTATGGAGAATCGGTGCTGAAGGAAGAGAATGTCTTCCAGTGAGCACAAGGCTCCTCCCCTCTTTCTCTTCATCTCTTCTTTAATGTTAGTCACCCTTCCACTCCTTGGCTTTTCCTCCTTGTTGTGCTGTTCCCTTGCCCAGGATTTAGCTCTTCAGTCTGTCTTCCCTCTGTCCTGCTTGGTTGTTTCCCACCAACCTGCTGATGGCAATCCCCTCTCCCAGTATGCACATGCTTTCCCTGGTCAGTTCTTAAGTTTATCCTGCTTCTCCCATTTCCCCTTCATGCCCAACCACTTTCCTGGCTCTCTTCATTCCCTTCTTTTTCCCCGCGGTCTGTCTGTCACTCTCTCAGTATTTGAATTTCTTCTTCCACTATGGATATCAGTGGTGAAGTAACTGAGGTTGCTGGAAAGGTAGACCGGGTTCTACCTCAGTCCATCGGGAGCTGTACTTACAGGACAAATAGCCTTGAGCTGAAGAACACTCGCTTGCTCCGTCGGAGTGGCTCATGATTGGACCTGACGTGTGTGGGAGGTTAGAGCACACCTCTGAAATCCTCAGAGATTTTAGTCTAATTCTTAAAAATACTTGCTCTCTATTTGTAAATAGAGATGTTGGAGGCAGGGAGAACTTGTCATCTGACACTGAGGGGACAGACAGGTTCCTTTAGGGATCTTTGGCAGCATGATGACGGCACTAAATCATAGTTAGAATTAAAGCTTCATTTTCTTAACATGGTATTATGATTAGTATAGCGCAGAATTTGTGATTAGAATGTTACAGGATCTCTACAAGCAGAAGCAGTATAGTACAATTCATGAGTAGCATAATACAAAATTTATAATACAAATTAACTTATTTCTAATCACCTGGAGCCTCTGCAGATCAGGTCAAATCTTAATATGTGGTTTGCCGTATCAATGTAACAATCATAGTCTAGACTCCAAATTCATATAAAAGAATACAAGTCACTTCCTCAATCCTGGGAGGAAGCAGAGGACGGTGGAGGCGGCCCTGGCCATGGCAGGCACTGGGTCTCACTGTGCAGCAGCAGCTCCGGTCCAAGTTCCCCCCTTAGAACTTATAACTGCTTGATCTTATTGACAGTGCTCTGGGTGCCATTATGCTTCCCTGTTGTGTGACGGGGCTGTCACCACAACCTGGTGGCCCCGGGTGCCGGGGGCCTTCAAGGCCGGCAAGGAAGGGAGTAATCGGCGTGGTACCCAGGAACCTTGAGGCCAGCAGGGAGGGGAAGAAGAAATCTGTTTGGTTTGTCTACTTTGGTTCTCAGGAACTTCAGGGCCTGATAATGCGGGGAGAGAGAACGAATACGTGACCCACTCGGTCACAGAGAATGGCTGCTTGCCTCATAAAGTGGTGCTAATTACGCTAAGCACATTGCCAGGGGTGAGGAGCAGGGGGTACTGGTCACAGAACAACCCTGTGAACAGTTGCTTTCAGTGTGAACAATTAGTTTGGTAGACACACAGCAACAGAGGGCTGAGTTCTACAATGGAAAGTTGTTGACGATATTGACAATAATAGGTACTCCCAGGCTCCCTCTTAATAACACTGCGAGGTGTTAGTAACAATTAAGGATGTTTTATGCCGGAGGAATGACCATAAATGACAAATGATTGAAAGCCACAGTGTTAACTTCTAGGATGGGAAGAAGTTACTTAGATTAATAAAAAGGCGCATTAAGGAGTAATGGAATGCATAAAACAAAGTCACTTAAGGCTGAATATCAAGATTGTAAAGCAGTATGCTATAGGATATTTTTTCCAAGGAATTAGTAGAAATTCTTTTTTAAATGTTTATGTGTTGACCAGATGAAATGCACAAATATCTTTTAAGAAGCACTTTCATATTAATGGGAGGACAATTGTGAAGCAAAATATTCCTTTAATTTGTCTCTTCTGAGAGAGCATATGTTTGAGTTCTAGGAATGCAATATATAGCGTAACCTCAAGTGGTGTTCACAAAGCTACCTGAAATAGACTGCTACTTTTCACTGTCATCCTTAAGTAGGACATAGGGCCTCTAAATACCCATGGAAATTTAAGTGCAAGGAGCAAAAACTCGGCTCTCATCCAAAGCCAGTTGAAGCTGATTAAAAGACTGCTTTTGGCTACTGAGGGCTCTGGCTTAGGCCACTAGCAAGCTAGAATTGAGTCTCAGGTGTTCAGGCAGACGTTTTTGGATAGTTAAGTATGTTTTTTTTCTTTTAGTCCATGTTTGGAGTACTGTCCATGATTATAGGAGATGTCCCAGTATGTATACCACCTAAAGTGTTACATATTTTCACTACTGAGTTCTAGAAATAGTAAGTGGGTAATACTCAACACCTTAACTACACTTAATCACCAGATTATGTATTGTTCTGTTTTTATGGCTTGACATGGTATACTGTTAAATCACAGGTATACCTAGAGATGATATACTTATTCCTATAAGATAGGCTTACAGCTAGAATGGAGTAGAGGCAAGGAAAATGTCTTTACTTTGCATAGTTTGAAGTTCCTTGGCTAGTTTTAGTGTGCGTCTCCATTCTTCCTATCCTGTTAGGTACTTAAACTTTTCAAATAGTGAAACAAAAGAGAGGAATATGTTTTTCAAATATGAAGTGTCTGTAGAGTTGCAAATATAGGTTAAAGTGAGAGGTGATGGTCTGCCTGACTCAGATGATTGTTTTATTTTACTTGTTTGCATGCTTATCTTCTATTTTAGAAATAAAAAATAAAATGTTTACATTTTATCATGGTTTTTTGAGTGTAGTCCGTATTAGTTCTTTCATTTTAATTCTACTTGGCATGTTGCCCCACTTAATTTTACAGGTTGGCCTGAACTTCTCATAGATGTACATAGTTATTACCTATCTGTGTGCTGTGTCTCCACTTTCTTCAGGTTGAGAAGAGTTGGAAAGTCATTTCTGGAGTTGGGTCAGGATTTCATTCCAAATGCTAATAGAAATGTAGAGCTTGTTCTCTCTTCTAGCTGAGCTAGATTGCTTATATACTATTCACCAACAAAGTTTTCCACAGTACGAAAAAGGTTTTGAAAACCTCTTACGTAGCATTCTGTAAAGCATCATGAAAAGTGGGTTTTGGTACTTGAGGGTCAAAATGTTTACATCAGTTTGGGGAGATAAATTGGAACTTGTTTTAATTAATTTTGTTTTATATTTGACCTCTAGGTTCCAGCAAGATGTGGAGTGACAGTCCGAGACAGCCTAAAGAAAGCTCTGATGATGAGAGGTCTTATTCCAGAATGCTGTGCTGTTTACAGAATACAAGATGGGTATGGTTTGTGTGTGGCTTTTGCTCTTAGAATCTCCTCTTGGAGTTACCTGGTATAGCCGATGCTATCCAACATCATGGAAGTTGTTTTCAAAGTTCAGAACGATACGATACTTTGTACTAAAACAATTTGCGCCTTCAAGACGTCCAAAGAGAGTGGCAAACTCTTAGAAATTTAATCACTTCAAGAACAGCATAATAGAGTAATATGAGCTTATAGACTGCTGGCAAAATGCTTATTAATCAAACTCATGCTAACCAAACAAGTATTAAATAGGTTTTGTTAACTTTTTGGTTTTATTTGACTTGGTTATAATGTATTCTTAACTGAAGGTAGAGTTCCTGTGGGGGAAAAAAAATTGAGTTTCCAGCCCTAAAAAGTTTGTAGATTATCTTACTGCACAAAATTAGCCATCTCTTTGGAACTCTTATGGAACCAGGTACTTTCACAAGCACTTTATTTGATTAAAAAGGTATCTGTCACCTTGGAACCAAGGAATCAGCCACTGCTGGAGCTGATTGAAAAAGTGCATTTCTTTCATGCAGTTTGTCCAGGGAAGGTGTTCTTTCCTTGGTATGTGCTGAGCTTAATGTCTTGCCTTTAAAGTTTCCTGCAGTTAGAGACTGGGTAGCAAACCCTGACAGCTCAACTTTCTACTTGATCT